GTGCTGGCTCGCGCCAGTGCTCCAGGTATGACATCGTCGCACGCCAGGATGTCGGCTCCCTGTTGTAGACCTGAATAGCCTATAAGTTGATCGCTAATGGTCCTGTTTTTGTTGAAATCATGAGCCAGCGGAAGATCGCTGCTCCGGTCCTCGTAATATTCCCTGAAGGCTCGGACGTGTAGGATGTTTTTTAACCTCCATCTTGATAATTTTCTTTATAGTGCTATAACGGTTTCTCTATAAACACGGAGAAGCAAGAGGAAGAAGAAAGAAAAGACGAGGAGGAGCAGAAGGGAGCAAATAAAGGGGTGGAGGTAGATGAAAAAAGAGGAAGCGCAAGGATCAAGAGCAAGAAGAAGTAGAGGAAGAAGAAGAGGAGGAGGAGAACGAAGACAAAGAAGAAGAAAAAGACGAGGAGAGGGAGAAAAAGAAAGCGGAGGAAGAGAAAAGAGAAGAAGGAGAACATATGAGGGAGAGATGGGGAAAGAGAGAGGACAAGATGAAGAGGTAGATGATGATAATGATTATGATGATGATGATGATGAAGGGCTAGGAGAAGAATAAGGTAAAGAAGGAAAAGTAGGAGTAGGAGAAGGAGGAAGAAGGTGAAGGAAGACGAGTAGGAGTAGGTGGTGGTGGCGAAGGTGGCGGTGGTTGTGGTATGGAAGAGGAGGAAGAGGAGAAGAATAAGAAAAAGAAGAAGAAGAAGAAGAAGAAGAAGAAGAAGAAGAAGAAGGATGAGGAGAGGGGAAGGATGAAGAGCTGGAGAATATGGCGCTTCTTCCACTGACCATTGATCTAATAAGAAGATGAAGGAGAAGGAGAAAGAAGTGGTAAAAGTAAAATGAGGGGACCTCGTTACTTATATTTTGTAACCTCTTCTGACAAATAAGCAGGTATAACTAGATCGATACACGAATGGGTGTGCTGACTCGCACCGGTGCTCCAGACATGACCGCATCTCGCGTCAGACAGTCAACTACTGGCTCTGAATCTAAATAGCCTATTTGCTGATCGCTTGCTGGGTTAGCTTAGTTTAGTAGTATCACCATAGTATCACACAATCCTGTTCTTTGTTCTTCGCACATTTTTCTCAAGCCTGACGACGACCTGGGGATCAAATGTCCAAAATTTACTGAATAAATTTCTTCATTTTCCCAAAGGACCCCTTTCCTTGAAACAACCCTGTACAATTGTAATACGGTAATAATGCCCAGGTAGAATTTAGCTATTTTAACTGTAACGACAGCAAATAAAAAGCAATTACGTAGGTTACTAGGAAAAACGTGCTTACAACTCTTGAAAAGCAAGTTTAATAAAATTTTCCACATAGTTCCCTCATCGATTCTTGGATGCATCACGAACTTTGGAATAATAAAGACGGTCTTCGTTGGTTGCAACATTTGATTCAATAGATATGTTGCCTGCACAAGCGAAAGGAATATACTTTTAATTTCATTATTTGTTCCGTAAAATAGAACTCTGGGAGGGGAGGCTGTGGATTAATTTGGTGACGCCAGTAGCCTTTCCTTACCGCTTGCTGGTTAAGTTTTGTTTGAAATCGTGAAACTGTCCTTGTAATTCTTCTTTAGGGTGGGAGTGCGTAGGAAGTGTTTTTTTTCAAATATTCTTCACCGTGTTTTTTTCCACCCTCATGACTCTTTCCCCATAAACG